ACTTATTTCACTCAGCATAATACCCTCCAGTTCCATCCACGTTGCTGCAAATGGCAGGATTTCATTCTTTCTCATTGCCAAGTAGCATTCCATTGTATATATAAACCATAACTTCTTTACCCATTCATCGGTTGATGGACATTTAGGCTCTTTCCATAATTTGGCTACCATTGAAAGTGCTGCTATAAACATTGGGGTACAAGTGCCCCTATGCATCAGCACTCCTGTATCCCTTGGGTAGACTCCTAGCAGTGCTATTGCTGGGTCGTAGGGTAGTTCTATTTTTAATTTTTTGAGGAAGCTCCACACTGTTTTCCAGAGCGGCTGTACCAGTTTGCATTCCCACCAACAGTGCAAGAGGGTTCCCCTTTCTCCACATCCTCGCCAGCATCTGTAGTCTCCCGATTTGTAGATTTTAGCCACTCTGACTGGCGTGAGGTGGTATCTCGGTGTGGTTCTGATTTGTATTTCCCTGATGATGAGTGACATTGAACATTGTTTCATGTGTCTGTTGGCCATCGGGATGTCTTCTTTGGAAAAGTGTCTATTCATGTCTTCTGCCCATTTCTTCACTGGATTATTTGTTTTTCAGGTGTGGAGTTTGGTGAGTTCTTTATAGATTTTGGATACTAGCCCTTTATCCGATATGTCATTTGCAAATGTCTTTCCCCATTCCTTCGGTTGCCTCTTAGTTTTGTTGATTGTTTCCTCTGCAGTGCAGAAGCTTTCTATCTTGATGAGGTCCCAATAGTTCATTTTTGCTTTTAATTCCTTACTTGCCTTTGGAGATGTGTTGAGTAAGAAATTGCTGCGGCTGAGGTCAGAGAGGTTTTTTCCTGCTTTCTCCTCTAGGGTTTTGATGGCTTCCTGAATGAGAGGCTTTTCTGCATCTACTGATGTGATCATGGAAAGCGAGTTATAGATTTCCAGCTATCGAGCCTTTCTTGCGTTCTTGGACTCAGCCCTAGGGGGTCATAGTGCGTTATGCTTTTGATTCATTGCTGAAGCTTATCAATAATTTATACAGAATTTTTTACATCAGGTCCTAAGTACAACTAGCCTGTATTCTTACATATATTATTTTTACCAGGTATTCACATTACTATTATGGTTTCATAGAATGGATTGGGGAAATTGCCATCTTTTTCTAAGGCTTGGAACAGCTTAAATAATATCAATGTCCGTGTCTTAAGGTCCAGAGTGAACTCAGCTGTGAAACCATTTCATTCCGGTGTTTATCTGCAGTGTCTTATAGCAGTTGGTCCACTCAGAACTTTCATATTTTTGGAGTCAATTTTGATAATTCGTATTTTCCCAGAAATCATTGGATCCATATAGACTTTCAAACTTTGTCTTATCAAAAACCAATTTTGGGATTTATTTTTCCGTTCTACTATTTTTTGTGTATTATTTTATCACTATTAAAATTAGATTCATTTGTCCCTTTTGTTGTTTTTTCTAATTTCTTAAGATGACTATGAATTTCCTGCACTTCCTCTTCAATAATGAAGATATTTAAGGCCATAGTTTATTCCTTTCTGAGCATATTTTATGCTGTCATAGTTTCAGTGTGAAGTATCTCATTTCCTTTGTGTTTGAGATATTTTGTGATTTTCCTTTGAACATCCTCTTCGATAAAAGACTTCTCTCCAGGCATGTTTCTTAATTTCCACCTTAAGATCTTTGGGGTCGAATTTTTATTACATATTAGATTACGATCCGAGAACGCGGCCCACACAGTAATTAAAGATTTTATTCCGTGGCCGTGCTCCTGGCTGAACTTGCTACGAGTTCCTTGGATGTATGAAGGAAAACGTGTGCTGCCTACTAGAGGGATGTTGGGTTCTACAAAACTCTTCTTAATCGAATTTGTTGCTTACATTATTCTATTATCTGTCTTACTCTTGCTTATGGGGGCGCCCTAATTCCGAAAGGGGATTTGAAATCCCCCCTAGTGGTGACACAGGAGCACACACCCGTAGCACGCACAGGCATGTACGCGTCCCCACGCACCCACACGCACGTTTGTGAACACGTGCTACCGTAGGCTACGCTCTGCCACGTGTCGGGACCGGAGCGTGTGACAGACTCCGAAGCCAGGCCGCCTGTGTCCGAATCCTGTCGGTTCCCGCAGCTCCCTCAGCCTCAAATGGGGGAGGACGGCCCTCTTCCCGGGGCCCGACGTGAGGCTCAAGTTCATCAGTCCCCAGAACACTCTCCGCAGAAGTTACCGGTTTCACACCGCCGTTTCCTCACAAATGTCCCCTTCCTGCTCTTTGGTGCTTTTTCAGATTCAGTCCCGTCTTGTCTGATGGTAACATTGCCATTCCTGCTTTCTCGCTGCCTTTACTTTCTTGGCAGTTTTGAACTGTCTTCCATCACATAAGTGTTCTTCTTATAGATGGCACGTGCCTCCTAGAGAGGGAATGTGGCCGCTCACGTTTCAGACACAGCCTGAGAAGATTCCCTCCGTATTACTTTGCTACCGTTTATGTACTTTGTGGTTTCTCTCCCTCCTCATTTCCGACAGGTCGGTCCAATGGCTTTTTCCTCTCCCTCCTTTGCTGATTTAGACACAGGCAGCCTTTCCGTTCCTTCAAGTCTTACTAACATTTCTTTTTTCAAGGGACGAGAAGACGACAGTTACTTCCCCGCCCCCAGTGGGAACAGTTCCCGCTTCTTCCTCTGCCCGCCCGGCCTCCCCTTCCTGTCCTCGCGGGACCCCGGTGCACACGTGCCCCCCTTCTCCCCGACCTCTGGGTTCCGCTGACAGAGGTTAGTGTTTTTAGCCTAAGACGATTACGGGACTTTTCTTGTAGCACGAGCCTTCCTTTTAAATCATCTGTGTTAGCACTTAGACCACTGGCGCTCAACAGTTCATTATTGTCTGTTTAGATTTAACAATGCGGCCAGGCCACAGATTTCCTGCTCTCCACACTCCCCACTCGGCCACTTCCCTTCATTGTGTCTCCGCCTCGGCCCTGATGCAGTCGCACACAGCTGCTACCGAGTTTGCAAGGACGAGAGCCAGAGCCAGGCTGGGCTGTGCAGGAACCC